CACACACACACACACACAAACACACACACACACACACGCACACATAGACACATATGCGCAGGCGAACACACACACTTAGCATTCAATCCGTGAGAGCATGTGAAGCTTGGTCATCGACAACACAGACTTCAGCTTTAGAGAGATGGAGAATAGAGAGGTGTACTATACAGTCGAACCTGCCCCAATGGACACTTGCTTTTAAACAAATTACTTCCGTAAATGACTTTACATAGTTTTACACCACCTCTTCACAATTTAGACAGTTAAGTTTAGGATGCACGTTGCTCTGACCCTGCATGACAGGGTACATTTTGGGTCAAGCTGTACGTACAGCATTCAAACAAAAAGATGGAGATACCTGACAAAACAGATTTTGCGACATGTAAATTAACTCATGTCTTTTGCATGCAATGGCTAGAAGCCTGACCATCAAGTCAAAAGATTTCCGAATACATCCCACCAGTAATCCAGTTTCTTTCTTGACATCTTTGTCTCTTTATTTTTCCATGAGAAGGTTGTCAGTTCATCACAGCCATGACCACTCAATGTCATCGATCAGCTTTCTTTCCATTGATACTCCTCGTTGTTCTCATCCAAGTGGTCTATGCACAGGAAAACCGCTTTTCCAATGCAACATTTTACCACTGAGTGACTGGCTTCACTAGAAAATCTGCTCCAAATGTCTATGTAAAGAGTCTATAGTTCACTTTCTTATTCCTCCCTAGTCCACTCTCTGTAGTGCTATCTTGCGCTTTCAACACTATATGAGGCAACAGACAGAGCAGTCTTCTTCAGGTGAATGATGTGCCTTTCGAGTCAGGAGCAAGGCAGGGAAGGGTGCTGAGTGTAATAGAGTGTCTGCAGTCAACACAGCCTAACAGCCCCTCCTCCAGGTGTAGAAAGGTAGGCACAATATAATCTGGTGTCTGTCGCCAAGGTTTGCACTGCCTCGAGGCAATTCTCAAAGGCATGAGGTGTTACTGTTTTAGTAAGACAATTGCACCTCCATTCCAGGTTAAGAGTCATGATTCGCTCACCCTGGTGATAAAAAGGCACTAATTTTTCACCAGCTGTGAACTTTGATAGGCAACCTGCTTCTACATGTACCCACCATTTGTGGTATCACAAAAACACAAGTCCCGAGCATCACCTCAGTGTCCTTTATTGTTCCGAAATATCACAGTGGAATCTGATGTCTGATCAGTCCCTGATGTACTTCAACAAACTTCTGGTAAAGGAAAAGTCTAAGCTCAGAGTTCCATCACAAATAGCATAAATTTGCTACCCACAGGACTATGTCAAACCGTAAGCCAATGTACAGATACAAGGAAAGCAGGGAAATGTTAAAAATACATTTTAACAATATTCATTCCCAGGTTTTCTCATCTTGCAAGTACATTTTTTTATTCCGGTGGGGAAGACAGCCATATTGGGAAAGTTATCACTAACGGTGTCATGCATTCAGAAATACAGTGGATACATGAATCCAACATTTCAGATGGTCAGCTGGAGAGAGGCGAATAGTGGGCTGTACACATGTCAGGTGACCAGTTGACCTTAAAGAGCCCTCTCACAAATCAAGATGAGAAAAAATCCTTAAGTCATTCATGCAGCAGACAGCAAGAAAAAAAATGAACCCCGTTGACTTTTGCACAGTTGGGAAATGGCGCATAAAACACAACATCTTCAATCCTTCTGAAGTTAGTACAGCTGCAATTGAAAATTCGAAACCAACTCACACTGAGGTTTAAGGCTTTGAACTTTGACACTCAAGAGCCTACGGGACATGTGCACATGACTCCTGAGCTCCCATCCATCTACTGCCAGTAACACCACGCTGTGTGCTGGGGTATGTGTTTGTTGAACTGGAGGGTAAAGGCAGTCATGGTCAGGCATGTGCTCTGGTCCATAGGTTAAGAAACAAATGTTTTCATTTGCTGAAGAGTTCAGGATGGCAAACTGTCTAAAACTGCCTCTTTTCTCCTTGAACATGAGTAGCTGTCATGGGCAGGTTCGACTGTACGGGTACACTTGCCGAGAGGTGGCAGGGCCAGTAGTGGAGGAAACTAGTGGTCGCCACCAGTGGCTCCAGGCTTTATGGGATGGAGAGAAGAAGAAAAGAAAGAAGGAAAGACAACTTTATTGAACCCCAAATGGAATTGATTTTTCAAAGACATGCATGTTACAAGCAGCCACACATAATACCAACATTCACACCATATTTAAACACACAATTTCAACTTTGAGAATACTGTAGACTATTCATTACCATGCAGTGCCCTCTTGGTTTGCCTGTAAACGGATTTTGCCTATTACCACTCAAAGCACTGCTTTCTCCTCCTCCCTTAAAATTTATTGCAGAGAAGACAGTACCATCCATAAGCATAGAATAAAAGGGAGTAGCAAATGAAAATAAAAAAAAAAAAGAGTAAAAAGAGGAGGGATGGGGGACATTATCAAGTTTTGTCTCTGGCCTAAAGACATGGACTATTGAAAGCATTGGTCTATATTACCAAGCAACAGTTCTTTCCCACTACTGCAGCAAGCGATACAGAGCAAGCATTCAATAATTTTGGGTTTGTTTGTTTGTAGTTGTGTTTTTTGCAAGCAAGCAGCTTTCCTGAATCTTAATACTGGGACTCGGGAATGTTGGGAGTTGACAGTCAAGTGTGAAGGTGACAAATAAATAAAAGTAAAAAGCAAGAAGCAACCCCCCCTCCCCCTACCAAAAAAACCAACACAGCAAATGTTTCTGTTTTCTTCTGCAAACTTGAGAATAAAAACTGGCATTCACACTTTGAAGCGTGAAGTCTTTATCTGTGCTATTCAAGATTGTGCAAATGTATACAAGTCCATCAGCAACATTTATTATTCTATATTAACTATTGATGATGCTATTCATTGAGAATACAGTGTGATACAATGATGTCAAATCATCATTCATAACGCTTCGATTTTTTAACAGGGTAAAGGGAGCTCACAGCGCCAGCCTACTTTTAATTTGGAGCAAAAGCATCCGCTGTGCACCCAGAGGCATGCGTCCCTGAGCTATTCATAGTGTGATTAAAGAATATTGAATATAGTAGAATATTTCTCAGTGGCATATTTTATAACTCTTGTTGGCACCACTTATCAACCTGTCTTGTAACCACGAAGAACAAAGTATTGCTGTATTTATCCCAATGATCTTCAGATACAATATGCTATTATTTTACTACAGGCTGAGAAAAATATAAGATGAAAATTCGTTATCAGTAGAAATCACATGGCATTTAAATGGATTTGCCACACTTCTAATAGCAGTACATAACACAAAAATTGTGAATGTTGCACATAAAGTTGAATGGGCATAGCTCTATAATGCACCTGTTTTCCATAAAAGTAACTTATGAAGCAAACCTGTGTTTTGTCAAAATCAGCTGACTCCATACTATATAGTGTGGAGAGTTGTTGTCCGGCAGTGGTTTGTAGCGAGTTTATACAATAATGACCAAACTTCACAAAGAACAGACTAAGACAATAGTCACACATAAAAGACATACGAGGAAAAGACCACTAAGATTTTTACCAAACTAAACTACACAAAGAACGCAAAGAGCCCCCCCAAAAAAAAACCCAACCCCAACCCCACCTGGAAATGAATGAAAAGAGGGAGAAACCTAGGCAGGCACTTAGTGGTCAGCATCACCCACCTGCAGTTTGTTGTAGAGCTCTAGGTTGATAGCCTTGATGTCATCCAGCTGTTTGCGCAGCCCGATGACCGTGTCCTGCTTTTCGTGGATGTCCTTCTCCAGCAGCCGCAGCGCCATCTCCATCTCTGTCTTCATGCCGATCTGCAGCTCAAGCTCCTTCTCTACATCCTAGTAGACATATAATAACAACAGAACCTCTTAGTTTTTTAAGTTTTAGTACAGTTTTTACGACACTCTCCATTGCAAAAGGTCATTTGAGCGCCAAGGAGTGGATGTCAACAGAGAAGTCCATACAGGAAATCAGGCTTACTCTGCTCCCCTCTTTAGCTTCAACAGCACAAAGTCTGCTTCGACTATTAAGGCACCCCTGAAATAGCAGATCACAAAAGAGGGACAAACATACAAAAGAAGTAGAGGAAATATGACGATAGTAAGGAATAGGAAAGAAAAAGCAGCAGTTCCTCGTATGCAGTTCAGGCACAGAAATGAGCATAACATTGATGAATCAGCCCATCTACAATTCTACTGAGCATAAGGACATGTTAATGTCCCCCCTTTGCGAATGGCCTAAAGACACTTCAGTCAGTATCACCGCCCCGGGGGGTAGCAGAACCTCTAATACTTTAAAACTTTTTCGCAACATCCTAGTAAACACAAAAACAACAGGAACTTAAGCTCCTTCTCTACACCCCAGCAGACACACAAAACAACAGAGCCTATAATGTGAGCATCACCATCATACATACAATTTTACAAGTGTGTCACTAGTCAAGTAATGCTGTAATCAAGAAAGAAGCCCGCAAGCTGTGCACAGCCACAAGTGGAAGTGGAGCTTTTTAATGTTCAAAGTGTGGCAAACTTTTCTCTGCCAGAATCGGTCTCATCGGCCATAGCAGAAGCGACAAGTCATCGTAACCTTTAGGGGTGGGGGGAGCGGCACCCTGAAAGTCCCGATTCGGCTCAAAACTAAGGATTTACGGTTGTAGGCATTTTTAGCTTCTTCAGCCCCTCTTACAACTATTTCATTGCATAAGAACCCCTAAAAGCCTTATTTCTTCCCATACCGGGCATGTTTGTTTTAACCATTTCCTCATAAAGTCAGTCTTTTTTTTTTTTATTGCCCGTTTTCTCGAAATGTGGGTTTTTTAAAATATACTTTTTTCATAACTCCACTATTTTTCATCCAATCTTCATTAAATTTTCACAGAATTAAGAAAAGATGCAATACTAAAACTTTGAGTTTTTTGTTGGTGGTGTCTGGAGTGTAGATTTTCACAGACTTTTTGTAAACAGGAATACTACCTCACGAAACAAATCATTAAAAATTTTCTTGTACGTGCAGGAAAAATTCATCACCCGGACTTGTAGATCTATTGTTTGCCAAGATGCATGCAAAAAATAAACAATTTATTTCCGTGAAAAATAAGTTTTGTATTAATTATATAAGAAATGTCACAAAAATCCAATCAGGTTGCTGTAACCATGGAAACAATTTTTTGTTCTCAAATTAGAATGCAGATTTTAAGACTCCTTACTATGTTTGTTATATATGTGAAATTTGATAACATTTGATCCACTAAATAAGCGAGATAGCTTTTAGCTGCCGCTGCCCCCCCCCCCCCCCCCAATCTTAATTCTTTTAATTTTTTTTTATTTCCCTGGAGATATATTCTCCTCTGCAGGTGTATTGGGTATCATCAGACATTGACTCACAAGCTATTATTATCATTATTATCTGTCAGGTACCGATCCTACCTGAATCAATGGAAATCAAACCTGACACAGAAACTTTCATGGCTCAAATCTATTACCATATAATGAATAGACACTTGGGACTAAAACCATAAACAAGGAATTTAAAAAAAATGAATATAGGTGACATACACAACATCAAGAAAGCAGTTAACACTAGCATACATGGATACAGTCTAGATCTTTATTTAGACTGGTGTAATGGTTAAGGCTCTGGAGAAAGAGATGAGAGAGAGAGAGAGAGAGAGAGAGAGAGAGAGAGAGAGAGAGAGAGAGAGAGAGAGAGAGAGCAAGTGAGAGAGAGCAAGTGAGAGAGAGCAAGAGAGAGAGAGAGAGAGAGAGAGAGAGAGAGAGAGAGAGAGAGAGAGAGAGAGAGAGAGAGAGAGAGAGAGAGAGAGAGAGAGAGAGAGAGAGAGAGAGAGAGAGAGCAAATTAAAAACACACCTACTTGTACAGACAAGAGAAATGTAAATCCCCATTGACATACACCACAAATTAGACTTAATAATCAAGACAATGCAGCTTTTATCTGTGTCACCAAATATTTCCTCAGTTAAATAGATTACAAGTATTACATTACACTGTAATTGTTAAAACACTGTCTCTTTCACACGCCTAACACAAACAGATACCCTGTTCAAGAAATCTAAAGCTTTCACTTCACACTGATAAAGGCACAATTAACTTTTGACATTTCTCATATTTACACCTATATACTTTGATGAACAAATATATCATTATCATCTGTGGGAGCTTCTAAGGTTGTTTTTTTTTTTCCTGCACACTGCAAGTCTTTGCATGGTTGGGGAGAATTACAAGACAAAACTCTCAAATCTATAACTTTGACTTGAACTAATTCTCATTTTCATGACTGCTCTAGAAATATTTTGGATGACATGACACTTTTACACATTAGTAACAATATATCTGGAACTTGGAATGATGGCGAAATGTATAGATAGCCTAAAGCGTTATTTAAAAAATTACAGTTGATATCAATCTGTAGCCTACTAGGTTGGCAACGTGACATATGTGTATTATAATACTAATACTTTTGCATTGCCAATCCATTAAATTACAATAACTGGGAGAAAAAATAGAAAAAACAACAACTTTGTTATACCCACGGAAACAACATATCTGAGATAAAAACACCTCACTCACAAGTCTGAGCTTTGTTTCATCTTCCAGCTGCTTCTTTACGTCTGCATACATTGTGTCCAGCCCAGCTCTTGAAGTAATGTACGTGGCTCTCTCTGCGTCAATATCTTGCTTGGCCGCCTAAGAACAGACAATAATGATGAAGAAGTTTTCTACATGATCTACATATTCACATTATCAACCTGCTAATCTTTGTCAGTTTTACAATACTCTGTCAGCAATACTCTGATTGGAAAATATAACCTTTTTGGAGTCAGGATATTGGAGCAAGATGCCATAAAAATACAAATAACAAAAAAGGTAAAAGTAACTGATCTGCACCCAAAAAAAAATGAACATCATGTGGCCAAATACTCTATTTTACTAACTGACCTACAGTCGAACCTGCCTTAACGGAAACCTGTGTAAAACGGAAACCTGTCTTTACGGAATCTCCCCCACCCCCTTTGATATATTTCTCTTTAATTACCAGTATAAAACGGAAACCTGTCCAACGCGGAAACGGAAAGAAAAATCCCCTCCCTTCCGAGGGTTTCACCTGTCTTAGACGGAAAATGCTTTGCCCGCTCAGCCCTGATTTGAAACAAAACTCGCAAGTTTGGTTCCGCCGGCTCTAAACTTAACGCCATGGCCATGTCGCCGGGCAAGGAAGGGGAGTAGGGGTGAAATGGGGGTAGAAGTTACCCCATCATGTGAGCCCTGAGCAATACAGATGGTCGGTGTAGTGTGGGTGTGATATCTCACGACTGCCCCTGAGAGTGCTTGAGTGGCGAACCACTACGGAAATTTTCCTGGGTAACCAGAAGCCAGAGGTGTAAAATTAGATTGACCAATGCCTGCCGCCCTGATCGTACGGCCAGCCGAGAAAAGAGTTCCTCAAATCGTTGTTACAATGATGGCAGTGAGGGGTGGCATTGGTGGGTGGGACTAAGGGTGGAAGCCAAGGAGATGTTCAAACGTTTCTGTTTTTAATAGGTCAAACAGTGGTCCTATGAAAGGCAAGCACTGGTGGTAATTGGATACGTAAGACTGACGCATGTCACTATCAGACAGGATAGCAGTTTAGAGGTGTGAAGTTTTGACCACTGCTTGCCGATCGGACAAGCGATCCTTGATCCCACCGGCTGGGCCTTTGAACCCCCCCACCCCCCAACCTCTACCTCCCCCTTAAATTCCCCTGTCTAAGATGGAATTTTTTTCCCGCTCCCTTGCGATTCCGTCTTACACAGGTTCGACTGTATTTCAAATTAAATGCTTTATCATCCCAGAAGCAATCTACACACACCACAAAATTACAGAATTAGTAGAGTACTAATTTTGGCTCTTCTATTACAAGCAGAAGACTTCAGTTCAGTTCCCAAGTAGGAAAGGAATTCATCGAATATCTCAGTCTGCCCATTGATATGTTGCATTCCACTCAGCCTGGTTTGGCCCTGATAGGCAGTGTTGAAGCAATCCACCCCCAAATTTACTAAACTGCCTTGATGGGGGCATAAACATTTGCTATTACAAGCTATTCATCACACCCTCTTGTGTTCTCATCTATAAATTGTCGGCTTTGAAATTAAGACACTTTACTATGCTAGAGGCCATAAATGTACAGATGAATTGACCAAAATGGCCAGCCATTGTCAAAGAGAAAAGAGGTTGTCTTAGACAGGTGTACATTTTGGAAGGTTGGATAGTGTCAGTATAATATAGAAAATCATACAAGGGGGGGGGAAGAGGGAAGTGGTTGTTTGCAGATGATTGTCTTGAATAGGTGGCCCCAGATGTTGTTTTTTCTTTTACCGCAGGGAGGCATGCCTGCCCCCCCCCCCCAACCACCCCCGGATTAGTCCCACAGAGTGGAAAATTACTATGCAATTAGGCGTAGATAGCAGGTTCGAGTGCACACCACCAATGTCCAGCTCCAGCCATACCTCCATCTGTTTCTGGTATCCCGTGGTGACGTTCTCCTTCTCACTGGAGAGCTCGTCCACCTCGGCCTGCAGCGTGAGGATGCTGTTCTTGGAGATGGCCAGGTCCTCCTTCATCAGGCAGTTGTCTGCCTGGACCTGCTCCAGCTTCTGCTGTAAGTTGGCCACTGTGGCGCTGAGGACAGACAGACAGACATACTCTCATTTATTTGCTTGATCCTTTCATAGATACACACCACAAGATTACAGAATTTAGAGTACTGATTCAGATCTTCCCTATTGCATGCAAAAGACTTTAGTTCGATTTCCAAGTGGGAAAGCAATTTATTGGGTATCTTTGTATGTGATTTTTAGGACTTTGCCACTGTCATTGTTCATCCAGCAGCCCTGTATCCTTAAGCCTGTCCCCTTTCACCTGGAATCTTTCGCCTGCATCCTTTCATCTGTACCCTTTGACCCAGTACAGAAAACAAGGGCCTTTAGAGACATTTTGCATTCACTCTTTACTGCAATTTACGACTGCAGTTTTTACTGAAAATTTCGTTTTTCTGGATGCACATTTTAGCTAAATGCTATTCTCAAGTGTTATATTCACTGTGACAACATTGTTTTAAGAACTTCTTGATAACTGATATACCAAGAACTATGACAGTATTTACTTACTTCAAATGTCTATTTAATTCCTCAAGGTAGTTTTTCTGATCGAGAATTGTAGCCATTTTGGAGTTTCCTTCACCACTGTCGATGAAAAATTAGTAATAAGATGAAATAAAAAGCAGCGTTTTCATGAATAATGTATTCATCATGTAATGATAAAACAGGCACATACATAAAAATCAGCTGCGTTGCAGGTGGAAGAATCAGCAGTCAATTACCCCTGAGATATAATGGTGAAATACAGAGAAGAAGAAAAGATCATGTAATAAGATATTAGAAATTTGTGGGACTATAAGAAAGGTGACAGAGTGCAGATCAAAACTGAATGTCTTTTAAACCTATTTATTTAGGCTTAAAGATTTTAAAGTAGCCATAAGGTACTCTGTTGTTTCAGTGCAATAGAAATAGAAGCTTATGGAAAAGATAACTATCATTTAGAAATAGGGAAAAGCACAACAGTATTGATACTGGAAACAATTATAACTTTCCATCCTCACGCCCGACGCCCCCCACCCCTCTCTTTTGGAACACACACAAGCCAAACATTAAATAAACATATTTATCAGCATGTAAAGAAAAAGACCAACAACAGACAGAAAAACAAGATTCTCATCAATAATTAAAAGGCATGAAACCAAAACATAATAATATAATCAAAACTCGCCTGAAGCCCCCCTCAAGTTAAAAAAAAAACAGGCAAAAAACAAAACTTTCCATGATGGTAAGAGTGAAACTAGGACTGAAACAAAATAAAGCCTGCTGAAAAAATTCCAACACATTTTTGTCTAATACTTACTTATCATCATCTGTAGAATCACTGTATTTGCCATCTTTCATATAAAGGCTGAAGTCAATAACTCCCATCTGCAAGATCAAACAGAAGCGTAATAAAGTCAATGAGCCTTTTTTCTCTTTACCACCTGGCATTCTCTTCTACCCTTGACCTCTCTCTCTTGCTTCACTTCATAAGCCTTCTATAATGCACAGGAGAAAATAAAGCAACCTAACCATGAAAAAACATTAAACAACAAAAGAATCCACTCAGAAACTGGGCAAGATTTCTTGTTATTAAATTTTTTTCTATTTTGAGGTATCATTTTCCTCCAAACTCACACCAAAACAATCTACTCACCTTTATCTGTGATATTACATCTATGTTTTTAGCTTTGAATACGAAAGATATAATTTATGTTGCTGAAAAAAAAAAAAAATTTGACTTAGTATATCCATATCCTTCTGGGATGTGGTATTCTTTACAACTTGGCAAGGTCTGGACAGGCAGAGTAAAAGTAGCTAACTCCCTAAATGGCCCAATGTATACAGTGTCATACATTGACGATCAATCGCTCACCGGCTGGTCCAAGTCTTCTCCCTTGATACACATGTTGCAGTCGAGAACATTGAGCCCCACCAGGAGACCAGCTATCACAACACCCTCTTCCTCCAACATGAAAGCCCCAGGTTCATAGAAATCTCTGGGGAAAAACAAAACATGCACACATATGCACTTGTTCAAATTAGAGAGATATATATATATATATATATATATATATATATATATATATATATATATATATATATATATATATATATATATATATAATGCCTATCTCATTTAAAATATCTTAAGCCTCAAAGTCAAGAGGAAAAAGTCTTAAACTTGAAACATACTCTACGACAAGAAACTGCACTTTTTGGTGTATTAAGAAATACAAAAGAGATGAAAATGAAAGAAAGAAGAAGTACTTAGCTCGGCAGGGTATACATTAGACAGTTTTTGTTGTGCTTTCCTGAATCTAAACCTGTTTTATACTAGGGACATAATCTGGGAAAAATACGGGAAACACATGGTTGCTCCCCTTCAACTGTAAGAGGAGCGAACTCACACAGAAGGACTACAAGAGAAGAAGCATCCTTCAACAACCCTCCTCTACACATGTCCAAGTCATGTAATTCTCAGTTACAGTCTGGAGGAAAAATCCCACCTCAAGGAATTCTTTTTTTCTCTTTACTCGTACTTCATTAATCTCCATCTGACCTTTAACCCCCAGACTTTTTACTCTTCTTGTCCCCAAACACTTTCAGAGAAATAAAAAGGAATCTGCGGTGTAATATTAAGGCCATTGGCCCTGCACACAAAGTACATGAGTTTTACTTGTGCAAGGAAAACTCTTCACTGAATATCTCCAAATTTCTGCTCACATCGCATATCTAAAATTAGTAAAACTGTGTAGACAGGGAGGTGGGGGGGGGGGGGGTATTTAACATTTACAGCTTTTTTAAAACAGACATAAACATTGTTATAATTTCCTTAGATGCCAAATGACAGACAGACAGCACTCAGAGCCGGCTTTAACTGTAAAACTGTAAACTCACTGTAGCAGTCTGTCTTTTTGTTCAATCATCAGCTTGAAATAGTCAGCCAAAGATTTTTGCATGAGGGCCAGTCTCAACCACGCTCTGGCCCGACCTAATGGAGTTCTGAAAATTTTTTTAAAAAGGAAATGACAATCACACTAGTCCTCATGAGGAATTCCAAAAAAACAAAAAGACAAGGCTACAAATGTACATTACAAGTCATATCAGCAATACTAGTTCAGTTTTAGACAGTCGAAAAGAGTAAAACTTTGCTTTCCATAGCTTAGCACCTTTATTCTGTGAGGGATAGTAAAGACCAGGCAAAACATTTAAGAGAGAATACAATATAGACACTATGAAGCCTTCCAAATTTTTACTTTTTCAGACATTGTGATTCAAAACTAACAAATTCACCCACTGTATTGCGTTTCCTGGTTCAAAATGACCACCTTTATTTAAAACCAACATTAAGTCTGTAGATTGTATGGTGGTCCCAGTTCGTGACTGAAATAATCTGTTCTTGTGGAATTTATTGGGATCATATGTCTAGAAAAAATTATGCAATATTTGTTGCCAATGCTTTCGAGCAGTTATTTGGAAAATGTATTTTGCCCATGGATTATTTCCAGAGACCAATTTTAAGTCTCCTCATTCACAATACTTGACTTTGTTTTGTTGTTGTTGATTCATATTCATTTTCAATTTGACCGTTGGGGCCTCTCCAAAGAAAATTTTATTGTGGGGAAAAGCATGAATTCATAACAAAAGCTGCTAGATCAATATGACTGTGACATTTAAGTAAAAATTGAAAAAAAAATATCATGCATGTGGAGACTTTTTGTTCCTAATAAAAATCAATGATTTCAACTTTTCTCTACAAGGACAAGTCACTGGCTACTGAGGCCAGAAAGTGGGTGGCAGGTGGGTGCTCTGGTGTGGTTGCTCCTTCTTTCCTATCAAACATCTGTCGTGCTTATGTCCCCTTTTTCTCTTTTGTGTTTGTTACTCTCTTGTAACACCTCTAATCTTCGGCACTCATATGACTTTATTGTGTGTTGAAAGAGCCGTAAAACTCTTACTAAAAACTAAAGCATTCAGAACAGAAGGGCAAAACATGCACGTGGATGATGACGATTCTTGAGCTTACACAACACTGACGATGCTACACACCTGATGTTTGGCATTTCCCTCACACTGGTGGTAATCTCGGCGGCCTCAGGAGCTATCTTCTCCACAGTCTCCAGCACCCACCAGAACTCCTTCTTGGAACTCAGGATACCTTTCTTGGCTGCTCAGACACAACAGAAAGAGCATATTATTTTGATTTTTGTCCCAAACTCCTGGTTGAGTGCAGATCAGAGAAGAGGAAATCACATATTATAAAGGCAGGAGATCTAAATAAATATTGAATTCAGAATCTGGAAAAAAGGAATGATGCCATTAACAAATGTCAGACTTTCAATTCTAAAAAATGATTTTCAATGGGAATAAATGTACATATTTTTTTCATCATGCACGTATCAAAAGAACCAATAAGATTGCAGTGCACGCAGCAACTGGTTTTAGAGACCTCATCAAAGGTAAAGATATATGGAGAGAGAGAGAGAGACAGAGAGAGAAAGAGAGAGAGAGAGAGAAAGAGAGAGAGAGAGAGGGATGAAGAGAGAGGGATGAAGAGAGAGGGATGAAGAGAGAGGGATGACGAGAGTGGTCTACCCATTGCGTGGTAAAGAGATATGTAAGAAAAATTTTAAGTTTAGAAAGTAAGCATTAAATGCGTATGGTACAAGACAAGTTCAATAAAATGTACTGGTTATTGTATTGTTATTAAATATGCCAGCATTGGGTTTGTGATGTGGAGAAAAAAGTGAGAAATACAGCAGAGAAACCTTCCTCATTCAGGGACATTTCAGAAAATTGAGAAAATTGTGGTATAGCCCCAGATGCAAACTAGTTTAAGAGTTTAATATGGGTAAGCCATCATTTACAAGGTTTTCAAGCTAAAACTGGTGTAGGGCCATCAATTTCTGATCCACAAATACTTCAGACACTTTCTTAAAATGGTGACTAGAAATGTGTCTGCCTACAGTAGAATAAATAGTCCACAGAGACATATTAAAGGTATGTTTTAAACCCTGCTCTTCAAGCACCAGTTAATATTACAGCACACATTATTCTGCTTGTTTGAAGTTAACCAACAAATCTAACAATGACTTAAAAATAATGACAAGCTAGTCAGTGCTCTTATCAAGATCTATAAACTGATCAAAATCCTCCTTATCACAATGTGGGCTAAAATATGACTGCATTTGCAAGGATTAGACCTAGAGTTGCAAATATTGTGCACAAAAGTTCTAGCAATAATGTATTGTGCAATTGCAATGAAAAAAATCCAAAGCCATACTGCACCCTCCCATCTGGTGGGTGACAGTTCACGACTAGTCAACATCATGATATTCTCTTCTCACCTGGAGCAGACTGGGATAAAAGAAACAATGGAAAGAAGTGGAGGAAAACAACCCCAAAAAGTATCCAGGAATACTATCCTGCACTGCTTCTGGCAGAAACCTCTCGAAACTGAACACTCTCTATAAAGCCCCCAGGCAGTAGGAACATTTCCACATGCTGCATGGGTGTGAATTATGACATCACTTGACAGTGAAGAGAGACAAATGGGAGATAATTGCCTCATTTACATATTATTATTTACAGCCCTGGTACCAGTGAAGATTTTCCAAGTATATACGACCGGGACTTATGTCTTATGTGCAACATAGACGTACGTTTGAGGCCGTGTCTCAAGACATGCTCCAGCACGATAAAGAACTGCTGCAGGGGAATGTAGTCGTCGTCCAACATGCGGCCATGGGCAAGGGAGGAGTCGATGAGTTCTTTGATCAGCAGTTTGGACACATTCATCAGGTTGGCTCGCTCAATCGTCTTTGGGTCTCGTCCTGTGGGTAAAATCAACATTTTTAAAAGTACATTGCAAAACGACACGAGACAATTGTGAAAGAGGTGCTTGAAGAAAAGATATGGGAGAGTAGAGCCAGAGGAAGGCAAAGAATAACATGGACGGACAACAAAAGAACATAAACTAGCCTGGATATGGCAGAATATGGAACGGCAGCTTGCGACCATGAAAGATTGAGGGTCATTATACGTCAACCTCTGAGTCAGAGATGACACCTCCAGGTATCCAGGTATTGTAAAACAAGTGAAACTTTGTGCCCACACCAGCTTGCTCTTGAGGGTCCCTGTGCCTGTTCTATGTTCATAAGGGTTTGGTTTGGTATGGTTTGGTAAGAATCTTTACAGAGTTTAATGTTCTACAGCTTTGAAGGCTTTGCTAGGACTGGATTTCTGGGGGTATTTTTTTTTCACTACATTTCACCTTCAGTTGACAGACCACCATGATCGAGAACTCATTAGAAGACTAGAAGATGAAGAGACAAATTGCCACCATACGTCAAAGTGATTATGGCATTTTAGATTTGCAACCCCTGATAGTTGAGCACTAAACTATTTATACCCCGTGGCAATCTTGGAGTACGATCACATGTAGAAAAAAAAATTACATATTTCCAAATATATGACATGTTTGTTTTTGTTTTAGTAAAGAAAAGCACAATAAACACAAATATGGTCATTTAGTGCTTGGAAAAACTTAGTAAGACAGACAAAAACAACAGAGGGAAAGTAAGGAAAAGGAATTAGAATCTACCAGAGGCACCCTCCAACCACTCGCAAATATATCACTGAAGTACCACACTCTAACAATACTCAAACAATCATCAGGTAAGTTTGCTCGCCTAAAGATCTCATCCTGTGTGAAAAAACAGAACATTTCCATCCAATTACATTGCCAATTGGCAAAACAAAAACATTTAATGGCTCAGAGGATCTTAGGGACCTTTCCCTGTGTGGAGATATTAAATATATTTCTAAAAGCAATTGGTAATTGAGTTTGATCTTTCTTTGACTCCATTTTAGTAAATTTTCCAAGGAGTATTTAGAAACTCTACTCTACCCACTGCAGTACCTTCTCTTCCATTTATACACCTCAAGCTCTCTTGCGTAGTGGTTGCATTTTCCCCCGTTTCTTCCATTCATGTCTTATGTCTTCAGTTCAGCTTTCTTTAAAGCTGACTTGTCCACGAAACAATCAGTATAGCACCCC